CTGAGTCCTCCATGGTTCTGACAGAACCCCAGGTCTGAGTCCTCCATGGTTCTGACAGAACCCCAGGTCTGAGTCCTCCATGGTTCTGACAGAACCCCAGGTCTGAGTCCTCCATGGTTCTGACAGAACCCCAGGTCTGAGTCCTCCATTGTTCTGACAGAACCACAGGTCTGAGTCCTCCATGGTTCTGAGATTGATAAAACTGCACGGCTCTCTCTTCATGAGTATGTGAGATGTCTGAAAACAAGATGCTGGCCGTCGGGTTGGGAGGGAGAACCTGTCTCTAGTGGAGGAGTTTAGGTTCTCATGGTTTGTTCATAAGTGAGGAGCTGTACGGAGAAGTTCTCTGTTTACTGCTCGGTCTAAGTTCCTATCCTCATCTTATGGTCATGAACTCTGGTAGAGACTGAAAGAACCAGATCCTGGATCCAGAAGGTCTAAATGAGTTTCCTCTGCAGGGTAGCTGGACTCTCCCTTAGAGACAGGCTGAGAAGTTCAGTTATCAGGAGAGACTCGGAGGAGAACCACTGCTCCTCCACATCCAGAGGAGCAAGTTGAGGTGGTTCATCTGGCAAAGATGGACCCTGGATGCCTTCCTATGTGTTCTGGACAGGTCCAACTAGGAGGAGACCCTGGAGACACTGGAGAGACTATGACTCTCAGCTGGTCTGGGAACACCTTGAAATCCTCCCAGAAGAGATGAAGAGGTGGCTGTGAGACAGAGGTCTGGACCTCCCTGATCAAACTGCTGCCCCCAAGACCTGAGTCCAGAAGCAGATGATGGATGGATGATGGCTGGATGGTGTCTGATGGTCATTGAATGGTGTCTGATGGTCGTTGGATGGTGTCTGATGGTCGTTGGATGGTGTCTGATGTTCTTTGGATGGTGTCTGATGGTGGTTGGATGGTGATGGATGATGGTTGGATGGTGTCTGATGGTCGTTGGATGGTGTCTGATGGTGGTTGGATGGTGATGGATGATGGTTGGATGGTGTCTGATGGTGGTTGGATGGTGATGGATGATGGTTGGATGGTGTCTGATGGTCATTGGATGGTGATGGATGATGGTTGGATGGTGTCTGATGGTGGTTGGATGGTGTCTGATGGTGAGTGGCTGATGGTTGGATGGTGGTTGGATGTATTTCAGTGTATACTTCAGGTGCAGCTGTTTGTTTCAACTCCTTTGATGTTTTTAAAATAAACGTTTGAAACTTTCGAGCGACTCTGGAGCTTCAGACGATCTCTCCTCTGCTCGGACGGTTTACATGAAGCTGCAGCTGAGGACACGCACACGCACACACGCACGCTGACGTGCATGTTTACATGAATGTGTGTTACGTAACTTCCTCTCGTGCTCAGTTAATCACCGGCCTCCATCTTTATCTCCTGCTGCCAGCAGCCTCCATCGTCTCCAGCTGAGCCTCGCAGCGCCACTTTCCCGCCTGACGGCCATCTTTGTGCGCTCCTCGTGGTGTGCGCTCTCTGATGTTCCTCCTCTTCACGTCCGCGGGATTAAAAGCACTTCTGAGGGTAAAAATAGCCGCGATGGAGAAGCGTGGGCTGTGAACGCTGAGAGTTTAGATTTAGTCACGGCTGCTTTTCAAGCGTCTGGCTGAAATGAGACGTCGCTCATCCTGACAGACTTCCAGTCGGCTTCATAATCTCTGGAGGTTCTGAGGACGCAGATTACAGTCCAGCACGAGGCGTTCGAGGTCACAGACGTCCGTCAGAAAAGTTCACTTCAAGAAGACAAACTTCTCTTTGATTTCCGACCTGAGAGAACAGACTTCTGATTCTTTCTGCGGCTTTAAGAAACGTCTGACTTCCAGAAAATGTACATTTTCAGCCGAAGCAGCAAAAAAAGTCATTTTCGAAACGTCCTCTGAGACACTGGTGTCTACGAGGTTTCACTGAACGTCTCACTCCCCAGGACGGGGTTTCAGATAAAGCTGCGAGCCGGCGGGTGACAGGCATTCCTTCAGAGAACTTTGATATGTGGTTAAAACCAGAGTCCAAGCTGAAGCCTGCTAAAGGAGCTGAAACTCCTCGTTCAAACGAGCTCAATACTGGCTAAAGCTAAAATTAGCCAATCGCTAAACACTATACAGTGTGGTAAAACAGTAGCCGAAAGCTAAAATTAGCACAACCATGGTGAAACTTTTAAACAAGCAAAACAGTAGCCGAAAGCTAAAATTAGCACAACCATGGTGAAACTTTTAAACAAGCAAAACAGTAGCCGAAAAGCAAAATGAGAAAAATAATGACTAAATGCTAAAATACTAAATAAAAAACAGCTAAATGCTAAAATTACTAAAAGTGTAGCCAAAAGCTAATATTAATAAACAGTAGCTAAAAGCTAACACTAGTAAAACAATTGCCAAAATTTACCATAAGCATAAAAGTTGTAAAACAGCTAAAAAAGGTCAGAGGCAGAAGCTGCAGCAGGTTTTAGAGAACGACGGTTTTTGAAGAAAAATCTATTTCTTTGTAAATAAATGTCAACATTTTGAAAAGTATAAAAGCTGAAGCAGCGTTCCTGACTGAGCCGAAGGTTTTGATATAAGAACAGCTAAAACAGGACAAAAACAAATAAACTGAAAATGGACCATCACATGTTCACAGAGAAGCTGAAGCTTTTGATTCCCTGCAGCCGAAGAAAACCCACAAACATCCGTTTGCTGTTGACCTTCAGCTGGTTTGACTGAAGACCCTTGAACCGCAGCAGCAGCCGGTCCACCGGATTACACCACAACCTGATCCAGAACTCGTGCTGACTGGACCCGGTCCAGTCCTCGACAGTCCTGGAAGATCCTGCTAATTATTCTAGGACCAAACAGCTGCTCTGGCTCGGCCTCTTCTTTAGCTTAAACATCGTTTCATATTTTATTCGGCTCATTAAAATAAAATCAGCTGTGATTTTTGAATAAGCGCTAAAGTTTGTCATTTTATTTTGATGTTTTGTAAAAATTAAAAAAAGTCCTAACCAACATTAATTTTATTAAAATCAAACTTTCAAAGTATAAAATGAAAAAACAGAATGAAACAATAAAATCAGCTGTTTTAAAACCAAAGTTATTTGATAAATTGATAAAATCATTTGAATGTTGTGATTGAATCAAATGAGCCCTAAACAATAAATACATGTTTTTTATTCATTCTAATAAACTCCAATTTGTAAAATATTTATTTTCTGCTGGACTGTTCAAGAGAGATACCATGACAACGCAAAACTCATATTTTTTGAAGAGGACCTATGACTTTTATTTTGAAACTCCGGGGTGAAACCTCTTCCTGTTTACTCTTGAAATCCTAAATACGTCAGAGTTCTTAAATTTAAAGTTCTGATCAGGACCAAACTGAAGAACCTGCTGAACAACAGAAGGCCCAGAATCTGCAGAGTCACTGGTTGCCATGGTGATTCCCACCATTTCTGGGGAGCAGAGGGAGGAGGCGGAGCTAATAGCCAGGAAACAGTCCCTGTGAAAGCTAAAGGTCGTCAAAGAACAGTTGAGTTCTTCTGCTCCAGGTTGTTCTGCTGGAACCAGAGACATGAAGGAGCCGAAGGTCACAAAACTTGGGTCTGATTTGAGAGAACAGCTGCAGCTAGCTTAGCGTTAGCCGAGTTTAACTCCGGATCAAACAGGTTCTTATAAACTTTGATATTTACTGATTATTACCACAGAAATATGAAGATGGTCCTGAACGGAATAATTTTTAACAAACGATGGTTTATGAGTTCTTTTTTATTTTTCTCTATTCTGCACTTTGGTTTGAATAAATAAATATTAATTAGCATAAGTATAATCTCTTATATTTAAAGTTTATTAGACTTAGCTATTTTAACAGCTGTTAGTTGAAATGTAGCTAAAATGATGCAAATATTAGTTAAAACTTGGTAAATCATCTGAGTAAAAAAATTAAACGGTTAAAATGAATTTATGGAACTTTTTTTTTTCTCTGTGGCTCGGTACCAAACACCAAAGAACCGGTACCAGGTTTGAGATGTGGACCCCATCCTTGAGCCCGGCGGGCCTCCAGAATCAGAACCAGCTTGTGTTTGTCTCAACATTTGAAAGAACAGGCAGAACCTGCAGGACATGCAGTTTGGACTGACCTGGTTCTGGTTCTGCTCGTCCCCGCTCTTCTCTGCTTCTCCCGTCAGGTCCAGAAACAAGACTCTCAAAGGTTCTTGGTGGTTTGAAATGTTCTGAAACAAGGCGGAGGTTCTGAGTTCCTTAAAAAATGTGCCCGAATCTCAAAAATAAACTTTTCTTCACAAAAAGCAACAAAAATAAAATCCTCCAGGACGACAAGAACAAGAACACGGGTCGGCTGCAAGGTTCTGCTGGAAACATGAAAACTGGGTCAGAGGAGGAACAGAACCTGGATCTTTATTTACACAAGTCCTCCACAAAGTCCAGGACCGTCCAGAGTTCTGAGTGTCCCTGAAGAACCGCAGCAGAACCCTGATGTTCTGCAGAACCTGACTTCTGCAGAAAGAACCCTGATGTTCTGCAGAAAGAACCGAAAAGTTCTGCAGAACCCTGACGTTCTGCAGAAAGAACCAAAAAGTTCTGTAGAACCCTGATGTTCTTCAGAAAGAACCAAAAAGTTCTGCAGAACCCTGATGTTCTGCAGAAAGAACCAAAAAGTTCTGCAGAACCCAGATGGCACCAGCTCTGGATGTGCTGGTTCTGCTGCAGGTCCGCGCAGCTTGAAAGTTCCGTTTCCTGAGGGAAGAATCCAGTTCCAGAAGTGTGCTCGTGCTGGGTCAGAACTCTGAGCGGTTCCGGTCCGTGGACCTACAGGTCGGTCTCGCGCGTGTCCAGGCAGAAGGCGTACAGGGAGCGTTTGAAGTCGCCGCTGCTGTTCGCTTTGATGTTGGTCTTCTCCGCCGAACCCGGACCCTCCGGGTTCTCCGCGGACGACCTGCTGGCCCGGCGCCTCGGTTCGGGACTCTCCGGACCGCCGCTGGGCTCCTCCTTGAGCGAGGACTGGTCCTGGTCCGTCTCGCGGTGGTAGAAGTAGTTGAAGTTGGACACGATGACCGGAACCGGAAGCGCGATGGTCAGGACCCCCGCGATGGCGCACAGCGAGCCCACGATCTTCCCGCCGACCGTGACCGGCCTCATGTCCCCGTAGCCCACGGTCGTCATGGTAACCACGGCCCACCAGAACGCGTCCGGGATGCTGGAGAAGTGGGACTCGGGTTCGTCCGCCTCTGCGAAGTAGACGGCGCTGGAGAAGAGGATGACTCCGATGAAGAGGAAGAAGATGAGCAGCCCCAGCTCCCTCATGCTGGCCTTCAGGGTCTGACCCAGGATCTGCAGACCCTTGGAGTGGCGGGACAGCTTGAAGATCCTGAAGACCCGGACCAGGCGGATGACCCGCAGGATGGCCAGGCTCATGGCCTGCTGGCCGTTCTGGTGCTCCTGACCCTGTTCGGCCAGCTCGGTTCCGACCGTGATGAAGTAGGGCATGATGGACATGATGTCGATGATGTTCATGATGGTCTTGGAGAACTCCGACTTGCTGGGGCAGGCGAAGAACCGGACCAGCAGCTCGAAGGTGAACCAGATGACGCAGGTGGTCTCGATGATGAAGAACGGGTCCGTGAAGGTCAGCGAGGTCCGGGCCTCGGTTCCGTTGTCGCTCCGGCTGCTCGCGGGCAGCTCGCGCTCGTCCCGGAACTCTGGCAGCGTCTCGAGGCAGAAGGTGATGATGGAGATGGTGATGACGATCACAGACACGATGGCGATGCCCCGGGCCGGACTCGAACTCTCGGGGTACTCGAAGATGAGCCAGACCTGCTTCTGGAACTCGTTCTGGGGCAGCGGCTTCTCCTCCTCCTTGATGAAGCCCTCGTCCTCTCGGAACCGCTCCATGGCCTCCTCCCCCAGCTGGTAGAACCGGATCTCGTCCGCGAACACGTCGATGGACACGTTGACGGGTCTGCGGATCTTCCCGCCGGACTGGTAGAAGTACAGGATCCCGTCGAAGCTGGGCCGGTTCCGGTCGAAGAAGTACTCGTTCCGGAGCGGGTCGAAGTACTTGATCCTCTTGGCGGGGTCTCCCAGCAGGGTGTCCGGGAACTGGTTCAGGGTGCCCAGCTGGGTTTCGTAGCGCAGTCCGGCTATGTTGATGAGGACCCGCTCGGTACTGTCCGAGTCCAGGTCCAGGTCCAGCAGGTCCTCGTCGAACAGGTGCGGACTGTGGTCCGCGCGTAAAAGCGCATCCATGGCGTTCTCGCTGCAGCTCAGAGTGTTCATGTCGTTGATCCTCCAGGGGCTCCGGGGCTGAGGAGGACCGCCGCGGGTGTTCAGCTCCTTCCCGAACTCCTCTTTGGGTCCGGACTGCCCGAACCCGGTCTGGGGGACGTCCAGCGCGTTCCGGCGGGTCTCATTGGCACCGCCGTTTTCAAAGCTCACCAAGGCGATCTCCATCGTGCCGCCGCGCGTGGTCACAGCGCGAGGGAGAGGAGAGAGAGGAGGAGGAGGAGGAGGAAGAGGAGCCGGGACTTGTTGAGCCGGAACCCGAACATCCTCACGCGCTGGTTCTGGTCCGGTTTGACAGAGGAGGAGAGGAAGGCTCGGATGGTGCTGAAAATGTCTGGATGTGATGTGAGCTGTCACCTCCTCCTCCTCCTCCTCCCCCTCTGGATTTATCTCCCTCTCTCGCTGTGAGCGGGCGCGCGCTCATTTTGTGGCACAAAGCGCGCGCACGTGATGGTTTTTACCACATCTGATCCAGAATCAGCCGCTGAGTCTTTAATCCCACCGTTTAAAGGCCTCCCTGCAGGAGTGCTTGTCGCCCGCCGAGGCTCGGCTCATGTTGAGCAGAAACTTCAGATGAAAATCTTCAAGTTCCGGTCAGCTGCTGGGGCGGCCATCTTGAATCAGGTGATCAAGAACCACCCATCATCTTCTTCGTTTCATTCGTCCAGGAGTGAATGAGATATTTTACTAACAGACAGAGACAAATTCATAATGTCCTTCATCTTTGTTTGTTAAACCAGGTCTCACTTGTAAACGAGTCCTCGAGGCTCAACGGGATTTATAATTATTTATTTATTATTTTAATAAATAAATAATGTCCACAGAAACATCCTGAAGTTACTCAAACAAACAAAAACAAGAATAAAACAAACAACTGATCTGATGTGAAAATAAAATACTGGAGAGGGAAGACACACCTGAGAGGACAGGTGAGACGGTTCAGGAGGACATGGTGAGACGGTTCAGGAGAACATGGTGAGACGTTGAGGAGGACATGGTGAGACGGTTCAGGAGGACATGGTGAGATGGTTCAGGAGGACATGGTGAGATGGTTCAGGAGGACATGGTGAGACGGTTCA